TCTATGATTATGTGGGAATTCATATCAGGAGTTCCTCCATTTAATAATGAGGCTTTTAATTTTCAACTTAGTTTAGATATTTGTAAGGGTAAACGTCCTAAAATTATTGAAAATGTTCCTAAATGTTATATAAATTTAATGAAAAAATGTTGGAATATGGATCCATTAAAACGACCAACAGTATCAGAAATTAAGAGAATTATTAATACTTGGAAAGAAAATATTCAAAGAAAAAAATTTGGCATAGCATCAAAATATGATATTATAGATTTTTATAAATCAGATAAAGCATTTAAACAAAATCAAAATAGTAATCTAAGTATTATTAAAGATCATTCACAAGTATTTTATACAAGTCATTTACTTGATTTTACTGAAAGATTAAATGAAATTTTAGATCTTGAAATTAAAAGTTTAGAAGTTAGTCAAAGTATTGGTAATTATTATAATATATATAATATATATATATAATTTAATAATTTTTTTAATTTAACACAAATATTTTTAATTTAATAGAAGCTTTAAATATTACAAATGATAAATAATTAAGTAATTTAAATATAAGCTTATATATATATAATTTAATTTATTTATATAAATTTATTTTTATAATTAATATAAATTTATTTAAAAAATATATTAAATATTCTATTATTTTTTATAAATATATTATATCATTATAAATTTTATGAAACATTTATTTAGTAACACTGTATATAGAATAAATATTATGAAAAATACAGTTTGTAATTACTCAAATAAACTTTATATATAAATCAAATTATAATTATTAAACAACCCTACAAGGCTTATACCCTGTAGAAAGGTGGTAACTGTTATACACATATTGTCAAATACACCTGAGAATTGAACCCGGGATCAGCCCAGTCTGCGGCTTGCAATGCAGCCTATTATTACTGGTAATCCTACTGCTAGGTTAATCTGATCTACTAATCACTTCCTTACGAGGTCATTCTTACATACATTAAAAATATAATTATTTAATATATCCGATTATCTGTATTTATCTAATTTACTAGTAATTTACATCTTTAACTGTATTTGAATTGAATTTCCGATTTTCCATTCATATTCAAATTGGACTTTTCTTTTTTTCGTTGAATTTGAAGAGTTATGCACAGATTCATTTTTGTAATTTTTCGCCATTTAATTTAACTTCTTGCGCCATATAATAGAAAATTCTTCTTTTTTATGAGTATTAAACTGGATAATAGATTTTAATATATTTGTTTCTTTATTAGATCTTTTTGTCTTATTCTTTACACTTGAAGTTGTTAAAGCTTTTAATTTCTTCGTCTGTAGAAAATGTAATATATAAAGATATTGATAAAAAAAGAGGAAAGGGATAAAAAGACAAAAAAAGTCCATCGGTGATACGTCACACACGCTTTTTATTCCATGCACATGCTTTTATGCGCATGTGACTTGTTTTTGACACGTAGATAACTAATTTTTATGTTATACGTATTTATCTATGGTTTATCTTCTTTCAATTTTAAGAATAACTACACCTTCATCTTAAAAAAAATAAAATAAATAAATAAATAAATTTTATGTCAATTTAGCTAATAATATCAACTTTTAGCTTTCAAAAGATGTTCAAAACAGAATATGAAATATCTTCTTCCTCTCTAAGTTCACGTCGAAGTTCCTTAGCTTCTGTCCTAAGCAGCTCATCAGTTTCAACTTTTGCTCAAAATACTTGTCAAAGCACTTCCTTATCTAATCCAAATGCAGATGAGTTTGCGCTTCAGGAGTGCATTAAAATTATCAAATCTAATGTGGAAGACGTTGTAACTAACAAAGCCAATAAAAATGAGAAAAAATGGTGGATCGACGGAAATTACAAATTTATTGACGAAAAAAGGTAAGACCATAAAACTGTTATTTCTACAATACTTGCTAAAATTTGTTTAATTTTCTTAGACTCCCACTGATCCTTGTGGAAGATGTAAGCTATAAAGAGTTTGAAAAAAAATGCGAACGGGCGAATGCATCAAGGTTCTGGGAATATCGGAGTGGAACTGTAATAATAATCGAGTTACCGAAACGTGATCATGAGGTTACTCATGGTGAATTTGTTAGACAATTTTTAAATGCTTTTTCTAATTTGCAATATCAAGACCGAGTTAGATGTACCGGAGCAATTAGTATGTAATCTTCAGTGCTTAGTTTATGAATACACATACTATTATATTAAAACAAAACTCTGCTGTATTCAGCTTGTTCTGCTACTCCGGAACATATAGCCAGAGGATCTAAACAGGCGGATGCTTCATTTGTACCAAGACTTCTCCCTATTCCATCTCAAAATCCGTGTGATTCTGAGGTAATATTTCTTTGGATTATGTATGTTATTGAAATACAAGATCAATTTGAATGTGTAATAATTTATAGGGTACTCCTTGGCCAACCGTCATTGTTGAGGTGGCTGATTCACAAAGTCTTGCAAGTATTATCCAAAAGACCACCCAATTCTGGTTGGCTCCAGATCGTTGTGAAGATGTTATTATATTAAAATTATGGAAATGGAATAGAACTTACCATAATGGAATCCCAAGGCGCCGTTTAACAGTTCGGTATTGTTTTCGTGTCATTCATTTATTTCATTTGCCTAATAATTGTCATGTGATTTTGGTAGTGCTATAAATTCTGTCGCAGAACAAGTCCTCAAAATGGAGATGTGAATTACCTACCGGTTCAAATAGTATGTATTAATGAATTTATTGTAGTTGCTTTCGTTTACAATATCACGTTATGTATCTATTTTTTTCAGATTGAATTCGGAACTATTGATGGAGAAAATCGACTATATAATCGATGCTCTGCTCCAGGAATGTGTACTTTAAGAATTTCACCACATTGTATTTACAGAGGATGTCCTCATCAAAATCCACCGCTTCCACAATATCCGTTTGAAAATGATGTTATTATCGACTTATTTCTTATACAGCAGGAAATTATTAATTAGTAGTATAATTATTACATTGAATAAGAAAGTTGGATATGATGAATGAGAAACTGTGCTTTTATTTGTTTAATTTCTTCGAATGCTGTAATATCCTTTTAATATGCACATGGTTCTCACAACACATAATCCCTATGTAAAAAAAAAATTTCGCGCTAATGCGCTTTGCTTTATTAATTCTAATAAAATCTGTATACAAACCTGTATAATTCATTGCGAATTTCAGATCCCTCTATGTATTTTTACTATGTTGTGTCTTAAGATATCTTATGTAAGGCATGGCTACGTTAATCACTGGAATGTTTGTTCCATTTTATGTAAGAGATAAAAAATGAAAAGATATCGGTGGAAAAGAACTAAGAGGGAGTAATAAAGCGTAAATAAAATACGCCCGTCGGACGCTAAAAATTAAAAATAACAGTTTCTTTCTCTGCATACTACTTGTATTATTGCTATTACTATTACTACCAGAATTCCCAGAATTTTAATCATTAATTTATTTTCTAATAAAGTGTCCCTCGAGTTCTTTGGTGCCAATAAAAATTGCCAAAGTGGCGGAACTGTGCTTGATTTCTTGGGAAATTATTGAGTGTGGCAACGCTTCTTTTCTTCTTTGATTGAACAGAATAGTGAAATCAACTAATACAGTTTCGACTTTTAGTTCAGAAATTCTATGCTTTATCGAACAGCTTGATTCCTTGCAAAAGCACAGTTGACTAGTTATATGATGTCAATTGATATTGTTTTGTTATAGAAATTCTTATACTTTATTGACCTTATTTATACTTATAATTTTATTATTAAAAAACGAAATATATTTTATTTTTTTTAAAAAAAAAAGTAAATGAAAAAAAGAGTAAAATAAATAAATAACTAGTGAATCTTCATATACTCACATAATTTTCCTCCCTTAAGAACTTCTTTTCAACAATTTTGTGAGCATATTATAGCGTGGGAATAGGACTGATTAAATATATAACCCAATTTTATTTCTTAACATTCACTTGTTTAAACTTAATTACCGGTCCTATTCAACTTACATTCATCGGTATTTGCATCATTATTCTGGAGATACGAAAAGTCGGTGTATCAAGTAAATATGGCACATTTGGGAATTCGACCTTGGAAATCCGAGTAATTAAACAAGAGGAATCGGATTGGGAAGAGTAGATTTTATTAGAAAACATATATATAACGAAATTACAACATGTTATTTCATTTTAGCACAACTTTAAATGGTGGATTGGAAGAATTTGATCGTACGGACAAAAAGGATTGTTATATAATAATACCCGGGCGCAATACTATCGTAAATTTTATTCGCGATGTTATGGCCAAAAGTCATAAAGCAATCCATAGCGTAAAGAAGTTTTAAAGAAATGGAAGGTTATTGAATGAAATTTTTGACGATGGTATTATATTTTTCTCAATGGTTGCTTGGATTTGTTTCATATCACAATCAAATCCTTGTATGAAGACAAGAAGAAGGTTAAAAGTGTAAAATAGTTTCTTTATTAAGCTATAGAGTTATAAGTCTAATTCAAAACTCTGTCGACTAAGATTAACTTACATGTTTATTTATATAAACTTCTAGACTAATACTAAACTACGCCTTTCAAAATAATAAAATGTAAGTAATATAATTTATACTAAAGAGATAAAATATGTTAAGTGACAAAAGTTGTTAAAGTTGATATGTATTACTTTCATGACTATCACCTCACTTGAGGCGCAGATCAGCAGGTGCAATTTGTCAATGAAACTAATATGAAACCGATGACTGATGAAGCTAACGTTGGTAACTTTATAGAAGCAATTGATGTTATCAATTATTGTTTGGCTCTTTACCCCCCGAAGCAAATAAACGTCTTTTGAAAGAAATTGATTTCAAATTTTCACGCGATCAAAATTTAACTCATAAAGATCTAAATAAGCTTCCTCATTATATTGCAGTAATTAAAGAAGTCTAGCTAATAATAGATTTTAATTGCCGTATGAATATCAAAGAAAATTTAAATGGTTCGCCATTCACAACATTTTATGCATAAGCAAGTATTTGAGAAATAAATGTTAGAATTAAAGATAGAAAATTTTAACAAATGTGTTTTTATTTATTTCATTACATTTTAAATAAACAATTTTGTCAATGTTTCTTATTTTGATTTGGCAAAAGATCTTTTTTTACTGATACCAATTGACAAATTTAAAATTTTTACAAACACGGATACGTATTTTTGTTTTATTATTTATATTAATTTATTATATATAATTATTTGTTTAATTTGGCTGTAATTAAATTCTTATTTGTTTAATTCTATTTCTATATATAAAAATCTTACATCAATATACTTATTTCATGTCGCTTCGTACTAATATTTACATATTTTTCTTAAAGATTTCAAATTTATTCTGTTTGTTCTTTAGGTTGTCAAATATTTTCTCTTGACTTTTTATTGATCGGTGTTTAGAATAAGAAGACATTTGATTTAATGAAACATATATAAGTTTATATGTCCAATTAGATAAATGTTAACACTGAAGATAAATTTTTGAAATTTTTGAGAGGGAGTTAGATACTAGAGATACTTACTCTATTTATCTAAATTGCTTTAGTTTGAAATTATGTCATCAGGAATTTTTTTGCTAAATTAGGAAATTCTATCATTTAAGCCTTTATATCATTAGTAAAAAAAAATTTTTGAAAAATATTTGTCATGCTTATAAGGTCAATCATATTATAGAGGAAAGAAATTTCCAGCTTTCAACAGAATTAAGGAAAAACATACAATAAGACAGTTGGAGGCAAGAATAATAGTAGCTGAATCTATTGATGTTAATTCGTATGGAACAATTGGAACTACTTCTGGACGAATTCAAAAAATATGATTCATCTGAATATTCTTAAAAACTTTTAATTGCTTGAATTGGTATTTTTTTGACAAAACTAGCTTTTAGTAGCTTCATTGAAAAATTGGCAAGACAAATCTTTTTAATGCATAAAAAGCAAATCTTTATTTACATATGAAGTATTTGGTCACATGTCTTCGCTAAAAATAAACACGAATGTGGAAATTCAGGCCGTAAATGAAAAAGGTAAAGACAGCAGCGTTTGGTCGAATTCACCTAGGAATATGCTAAAGAAGTACATTATGATACGCTTCGAGCTAGTTTATCACCCAATTATGAGTTCGTTCACAAAGCTACGTGCCTTCCTTATACGTTTGGTATTTACATTGATTTATATACTCAATTAAATATTACAATCTTTCCAGTTGAGAATGGATGGCGACATTTAAAGTAAAAAACTTAAAATTGTTTATATAATTAATTTATCTCTGTTTTACACTAATTTTAATTTATAATTATTTTTTTAAAATTAAAAATGTTTTCTCGTCGCGTCATCAAAGAAAAATCTAGAAATTTCAATCAAAAAAATTTTCTCTAAAGAAATCATTACTAAGGTCTCAAAAAATCTTGATAAATTGGCTAATTAAAATTTCTTATAATTTATTTGCCTTCGAATATAAATAGAAATTAAAAGATAGCAAAACTTAAATTGAAATTTTTTTAAATACATAATTAAAGAGTAAATTTATCCATCGCACGTAGGATGCATCGCCTCGGGGCAAAATTATGTAATGCAGGGCAAAATTAATACATGTGACATTTAACGCGGGTGAAGAATAGAATTTTTACGACAAAAAAAATTCCTGTTCTCAGAATATATATGAAAAATGAAAAAGGGAGAAGTGTGACACGGGTGACAAAAGGGAGACGATTCATCGCACACATGCGATGAATAAATTGTTTCTTAAAGTAAATCAAATAATTTAAAATAATAATCTAAAATAATATGCAAATGATATAAAGATAAATTCCAAAAAATTAAAAGAATAATATAAAATAAATAAATCCTTGCTTCAGAATAGGTGTAGCTAATTTACTGTATATTTTTAATTTTTTTAACAAAAAATGTAATATAAAATATATTAAATAAATAATAGTAATATTACCAACGATTAATAGATGTTCACTTTCTTAGTGAATTTCAAGAAAAGAAATATGTCCGAAATACTTGTCTGGAACATCCAAAAGGCGGAAATTTCGATTAGAGTGATGTGATTTTATTATTCGTTATTTTCGTTCAATTTTTTTTACTTTCATGAAGCGGATAAAAAGGATCAACTAGTAAAACTTACCTCCTTTTTATATTTATATAGGTGATCTTGGAATCGGCGAGTATGATCGTATCACGAAAATCTGGATCAATGACCCTTTACATATGGACCGATATTTGCGGGAACGTTCGAGAAATAATACTATGACTACTGTGGCGGATAATTTGACAGATCAACTTGGGAACTAATTTTCCGCTTCTGCTTTGTAGCATTCCAAGAAACGAATTCGGAATTTTGCGATCACATAAGGAAATTCCGGCGTAACTGTTTCGAATTATGGATCCTGTAAACAAGTAGCTAGAAAAAAAAGGTCGTTAATATGTAATTACGGAATGGTCACTATAAAATCAGAGAATCCTTCCCTTATACCTGGATTTTACCCGAAATGCATATTAACAGATGAATATATAATAAGCACAACCGATTTCCTAAAAAAATACCCCACGACTCCACCATTGAAAAAATATTCTGATTTTATAAAGATGTTTTATTAAGAATTTTCTTTTTCTATGAATAAAGAGTATATATGCAAAAATAGAGAAAATTTTACATATAAAAAATTTGTAAAATGTGGAAAGGAACAATGTCCCCGATTTTTCCTAGCCCGAGATCTGTTAACATTTACCACGTCTTTCCGTAATAATCTATTCTATGTCAAAGAATTTTAACGGACCCAAAGTATATAATGCCTTACGAAATTAGAAACCTTTTTCCCGAACTTGTAATTCATATGGACTATTTTCTATCCAACGCTTTACTAATTGCAACTGCGTGTTTTTATTAAAATACAAGTAAATGACTCATCATTTATCCGGTTCCAACAACCGAATATGTTTAAAGGAATGAATACATCCATCATTTCTTTGTTCCCCCATCTCCGAAATGTATGACCAGTAACCTCAAGAATTCGATTGTTCATTGTGATGTTGGGTCCAAAACCATAAGCGAATGACTTATAGTAATAATCTAAAGGTGTAAAAATTGTCTTATTCCTAAGTTTATCGGACATTCCTATGAAGGAGGATAATCAAAATCCATTAGTCTGATAGCTCATGCGACTTGCTTTAAACACAACAATCATTTCTTACCCGAATTCCAGAACCAAGTTTCAACTATCCAATTACGTTTGATGGCAGTCGTTACTATTGGATCATAGCTATCATCTTCAGAGATTATCGCCAATATACCAGGATTTTTGGTGAAAATTACTTCATCAATTGCATGCGCTAGTGCTACACCAACTTTCTTTTCGAATACCATACATTGTATCCCTGATCCCAAACACGTTTCCAAAGTGAATCATTGGGTGGCGGACATGACCCGACTATTACCGCAACCTACGATTATCTTGGATCATTGTAAGGAGTTTACCATGATCAATATCAATGCAAAACCGGTCAAAGCATAGGGAATTTTTTTTTGCTGTCAAATATACCCAGATTTTCAAGTTCTGCAACAACGTACTTTCCTTCAACTAAAATATTAGAATTATCAACGAATACATAAAGTAGTTCGGTGTTTGTTAAAGGGGAAGTTTGGCACAGAGGATGTTCGCGCTGTGATTTTTCGGTAGTAGATTTATTTGTGAGTGATATTATATATATAGGATCATGAATAAAGCGTATATACAGAGAACACGAACCTCTAGTTGATTGTCGATTTCTCTGGCGTGTGCCTCTGTCTCTGATATATCTATACTTTCTTGCTTCTCCTTATTCGCTTTTGTTGAATAAACTGACCGACTCACTTTCGAGAACACAAAACGTTGAATAGGACTCATAGATTTAATGAATTTAGATATTTCACTCTTACAGCCCCACAGTATATCACTCACTAGAGGCCTGAAACGGGCCGGCAAATATAAGTTTAGAATTTTCCAGGCCGGGCCGGGTTTCAAAATTTGGACTTATGCAGGTCTCTACCACTCATTATTCACAAATCTTTAATTGGTCGCAAATTGCGATTTTTAAAGTTTTAGTAGAAATTGAAGTGCAAAAGATAATAAACTATTTTGATATAAAAAATTTTAAAAAAAAAGAAATTTGGTGGTACGTTATTTTGATACGCAAAATATTAAAAAGAAAGAAAGGTGGGAATTTCTATTTAATAGGTAAACAAACTCACACTTCTCCGAGTTCATCTAGGATTTTTTTCCAAATCCTCCAAATACTTTTGCTCCAATTGATACTCCATTTCTTCCAAACTCGCCGCGCTACCCTCCAACCGTTTTTTTCTTTCTTTAAAATCACTTAAATCATTTGTAAGTTGTAAAGTACTTTCCGCCAAATTATAGTTGCTTGGCAAAACTCTCGGGTTTCGACGGGGTCATTGGCAACCATAATAAAATCCCGTCAAAATTCAAAACTATATTAAATACTTATTAACAAATCCGTCGAAATATAGGGTTTCGACTTTTGCCATTCGCTAAAATGAGTTTTGCCAGGAAACTATACGCCAGATCGAATCTTGATTGTTCCTTTTCTTCGTTTTCTTCACTGTGTTCTTTTATGATTCTAGGAGTGAACATTTCGCGCTTTTCTTTTACAAAATTTTTGAATTGTTCGAGTCTTTCTTTTGATTTTAATTTACTACCTTTTACTAGGACGTCGTTTAACCATAGTTTTGTATTTAATATTAAATTTCTTTATTGAGTAAGTAAGTTTGAAAGTAGATATGCAAAAAGGTAAAGGGAAGGAAATCTAAAACGTTAGAGAGAAAATTGGTAAAATTGCCTATAAATGGAATATTGACAGGTGCATTTTACAAAAATTATGTCATGTATTTATGTAATTATGTAATCGGATCTTTAAAACAAGCAAACTTTGAATGACTGGTCATTTTCATATCTGACGCACCTCATTTGACCATCTGAAATTTATATAAAATTGACGGACCCAGCTTTCCAAAAATGTGCGGATATGTAATAAATAATTTAAAATAAATATTTCACGTGACGTAAATTTGTAAAAAAAAGGTTAAAAATCAAAATATGCATCCAATTGAACAGTTGCGTCAAAATTCCAGGTCATTTTGAAATTGCCTCTGAATGACCTGTTCATTTCTCTCCAAGCTGACTTATTCCAAAGTAAATGTAACACACGTAACATTTACTTTTATTTTTCCCATTATATTATAGTTGCAATGTTCCAATAGCGGAGGGTTAATGATTAGTCAACAACTGTAATATATCGCAAAAGTTAACTGGAATAATTCAATATATCCTTTATTTAATGTTAATTTTAATATTTAAACCAAACATTCAGAGAAATTTTCCTTTATACAATAAAAATAATACAAAAGAAAATAAGAAATATAAAAATCACGATCTTAAATTCTTGATAAAAATCTATAAGTGAAAAAAAGGAATAATTCAAATCATTAGTTAGATAAATAAATACTAATTATAAAAAAAAACAAAAAAAAAATCGACATACCTAAATAATGGCTAAAAGTAATAAAAGAAATATAATAAACACCTAAGAGTTTAAATTATTTGTAATGAAGGACCTTGACAATTTTCAGCGTGATTACTAAGCGTTCTTTTATCAATAGGAATAGGCTTATCATAATATGCTCCATAAATTCAACAAAACTTAAAATGCTTCAAAAATTTTCCTCATGGATATTTAGTGCTCCCATTGCATACATTAAAGAAATTAGAGAAGTTCATTAATCGAAAACCAATGAAAAATTAATAACATAATCATTAAATCAACAAAATACATCTCGAACTGATGAAGTTGAAAATTTGAAGCAAATAATTTTCAAGGTACATCTTAAACATATAATTTTCTAGCAACTGATGGCAAAGATCCATAATATATGAATTAATTAAATATTTATTATATATTAAATAGAAAATAATTCCGGAAAAGAAAATTTTCCGAAATAACATCGGAAAACAAAATGGTAAAAAATATTTTTAATTTTGAATAATTAAACTATTTTGCAATAAATTCTGATTGTATAAATGATATATATTTTTTATATTAGGAAAACCTACACATGAAGACCGCTCATTATTTTGTAAAATTCACTATGCAGAAAAAACAATCGTTCCCGATGGCATTCAAAAGGGCTATCCTACTCGGATAATTCAAATTAAAGAAAAACTTCTTAACATTATTGATAAAAAAATCAATAGTTATTCAAACTTTTTTTGCTCAACAATTTGTTAACATACGATTTAGCTTCTCCTAAGAAACCGGTAGACTTCTTGCAGGAAGTTTTAGTTCTTGAGACTGCATTGCGATTGATTTCTCAGGATAAAGGTAATATAGGAAAATTATGAAACATACTGCCAATTTCGGTGCTTATGTACATAAAGAGTAATTCACGAATAAAATAAACAATGAAATTTTTGCAAATAAAAAAATTTGTCATAGTAATGTTTTTTATTTAGTTTAAAATACAAGTTTACAAGGTTAAAAAAATTAAAATCATTATTAAAATTTATAAAAATACAAGTTTATTTAAAACGAGATACGCCAAAAGTGCCAAGCGACACGGACTAAATTAGAATTTGCAATGTTGTCCCTAATTCTTATATTTGTGTTAAATATTGATAGAATATTAAAGAATTATGGAAAAAAGAACGAAAATCTTAACCCATTAAAAGAAAAACATAAAAGATATAGCTGACTATTATTTAAAAAATATTTTGAATGACCCCAAATATATAAATGTCATAATCGTATGTTACATAATTTTGAACCAATCTACACCGGGGGTATAGGATAAGGATCCCCAAAATGATTACAAATTTCGATACAAGGAATTGCCAAATGAGCCACGTGATACAAGAATTTTTACGGAAGGCTTGTGAAATTTCTTTAATTTCCAATGCAAGACATTGAATATTATTATTCTGAAGTTGAAATTTAATTTGTATTTTATTAATTTAAATTAACATTAACATTAGTATCTATTTAGTTTTTATATTAAATATAAACAATAGATCGAAAAGGAGTAATTGATCGTAAAGGAACTGTTTGTCCTAAACCTTGAAGTAAAACAATAGGGTTATTTACTAATTTAGTATTCGCTAAGGGAGAGAAGGTCGTTTAATACAGGTGTTTCTCAGTTTTGCAAGTAGGATAATATGAACCTTCACTATCCTATTTAGGAGACTGTCAGCATTACCACACACGGTTTGGAGGCCGTACATCCCGCATATTACTGAAACAAATACTAAAGAGTTTAAAAACTTACTTTTCGTTAAAAAGCAATCTTCGTTTTCTAAAAGTATGTTTTAGTCTTCCTTATCTTCCTACAAATTTTTTTATCCTTTTTTCACAAACGTAATAATAAATAAATAAATCATTCATTTCTGGCGTTATCTTATATTTGGGTTGTTATAAAAGGTAAGCTTTTTTTTTTTAAAAAATAAATAAAACTGTGAATAAAAAGTGAAACATTTTAATTTTTATAAATAAAGTCGAGGGTAAATATATGAATTCTGAAGCGTCTTCAGCGTCTGAACAATTTTATTCTAGACCCACGTGGAAAGTACTTATTTATTTATACATTCGTATATGCATGAATATTAGTCAGATGAATTTGTTCGATTTATAGAAACGCGTGATCCAAAATTAATATTATTTTATTTATTCAACTAATTCAAAGGCAAAATGCTCAAACGTAAGAGCAATTTTTAAAAAGAGTTATGCTTTATTGTCATTGTATTGCACATTTGTAATCTATTAATGCTAATATTATAATCTAGAACAAGTTTCTGTTTTGCTTGTTGATTGGCTTGGCTCAGAGAATATAAAACTGAGAAGGAATAATCTAAAGTATTGCGCCAGCGATATCGAGTTGTTCATTTTTTAATTTCATATTAAATTTATTATCAAAATTGCATATATGAAGCAACAGGTAAAGACGACGTTAATGATAAGAATATTTAACATTCATTATTCTCTATTTTGAATTCGATTTATAAAATAAATTTGTTATCACGTGATTAATTATCAATGTAACATAAAAGTGAATAAACAATTGATAGTTATCGATAAAAATTTTCAGCTAAAATGAATCGTTACCGTTACTGTTACTGATAACTATAACCATTATCTCTATCACTATAATCAGTGTCATCACAATCTTGAGCAAAGTGACCACGTTTATTATATAAGTTGTGGATTTTTTTCACTATTGGTAATTTCAAACGACATTAAGTATTATAAAATTAGTGAAACAATGTCCTATAGGGTGATTTTAATAGCAAAATTACAACAATGCTTGTAGAGTGAAGTGATTTTAATAGTATAATTTTAATTATTTTATAATAGTAAAATTTTAAATATTCATAATTCGACTTAATATTAAAAATTAGTACAATTTATTATTGATTATATTAATTATCACATTTACGACAACAACAACTACATAAAGTACATCAAATAATGCATTCTTGCAGTTGTTGCAAAATATAATTTAAAAATATTTGTAAGTTAATTTTGAATAGAATATTTATATTTGATAAATAAATATTCACCGACGATCCATTACAAGAATGGGTTAGATCCTTTAAAATAGAGGTTGGCTAAAAATCTATATCCGGTTAAAATATTTGTTAACATGTCATGTTAAACCATTTAAACCAGTTAATTAACGAGTTAAAAATTAACCGATTCCAACCTCTATTTTAAACATCCGAAGAATAGAGTATTTATGGAAATTCATTAAGTCATGGGAAAAATTTAAACCGAGGGCTGAACGTCCTTATATAAAAAGTGAATATTATCCTTTGAACAATTGTAAAAATTTCTTATTTACATAATGGTTATAAGAAGAAATTTAGAACAAGCACTAACAAACTTGGAAACTAGAATTAAGGAGTTAGAACAAAGAGACGAAGAGTTACGTTTACAATTTAAAAATTTAGAGGAAAAGTTTAAAATGCGAGAAGAAACCATTAATAATTTAGAAGAACTGATTAAAGAGCAAGAAGAAGAAACCAAAGCAAAGCAAGAAACTATTAATAATTTAGAAGAAATGATTAAAGAGCAAGAAGAAGAAGAAACAAAAACCAAGCAAGAAACTATAAATAATTTAGAAGTAAAGGTTATGGAACGAGAAGAAATAAACAAAGACAACCAAGAAATTATCAATAAATTAGAAAAAAGGATCAGAATCCTTGAATCATTTATTTATGATGATACTGTTGTTAGCTTAACCATTACAAATACAAATAAGGATGACATATTAAATGCCTTAGGCGGATTGCAAAAATATCGAAAATTAGAAATACTCACTTGTGATAGTACTCAAATTACCAGCTTACCAACTTTACCTAATTCCTTAACGGAACTTGATTTCTCTGGTGGTTTGTTCTCTTATAATAAAATAGAAATCCTACCAAATTTACCCAACTCCTTAACGGTACTCAAATGTTATAGAACTAAAATAACTATCCTCCCAACTCTACCCAAATCCGTAACGGTACTTGAATGCTATGAAACTCATTTAAATAGCTTACCAACTTTACCCAACTCCTTAACAAAACTTAATTGCTTCAATACTCCATTAACTACCCTACCAACTTTACCCTTTTCTTTAACGGAACTTAATTGCTCTAGTACTCCAATAACTATCCTACCAACTTTACCAAACTCCTTGACGGTACTCAAATGTTATGAAACTAAAATAAATAGCTTACCAACTTTACCTAACTCCTTAATGGAACTTAATTGCTCTAGTACTCAAATAAATATCCTACCAACTTTACCCGACTCCTTGACGGTACTTGATTGCTCTTTTACTCCAATAATAATTCTACCAACTTTACCCAACTCCTTGATGGAACTCAAATGTTATAACACCAAAATAAATAGCTTACCAAATTTACCCGATTCCTTAGCGGATATCAGCCCTCAATTTTTAAAAACTCAATATAATCTTTAATCTTTTTCTTTGTTCATATTTTTCTTTGTGGAGTTTCCGCATGGTAAACTTTATTGGATATAATACTTGAAAGTTAATTTTGTTTTATTTTACCCTAAGAGAATATTTAAGAAAAATTATGGAAATTTTTGCCACGATTTCATTCATTGTTTTTAAAATAGGTAATTTATAAATATTATTTTACTTTATGAATTAATGATTTTATTAAGTAAATCAACGTAATGAAAGCTTAAAATTTAATATATAGTTTCAAATATAACGTAAATAAGGCTGGAATTATTAATCCACTAACGAATTTTAAGAATATTTTCCTCTCGCAATAAAATGGAGAAGAAAATTACCTCTTTAAATCCGTAATCTACCATCGATACGACGTATTAAACGTCCGTCTTTCTTTTCTTATTTAAAATAAATTAAATAAGAGATATAACAACTTAATACAGGAATATGTACTTTTAAATTGCTTCGAGTATTTGAAAGATTTCTAAAAGAAACAAATTTAATGTTTATTTTCATGTATTATGATTAAAACCAATTTATTTCAGAGGTGCTTGTAAAAGGAACTGTTTTGCAATATTTTAAAGATTCGTTGATCTTTTTATTTCTTTTATGTTCTACTATTACAAAAACTATTTAAGTTAATCTAGCCGATGTCGATTTTTTGTTGAAATCGAAACTTTTATTATATAGCTCAAACTTTAATTTCAACTACGCTAAGCATCATACTTATCATCCTTGTCTACTTTTTTTATTGTCAGACATCATTAGAAATTAAAATGATTTTTATAGTTTCTTTTTTTAATTATCATAAAGTCATATAATATACAACAACTTATTAACTTTATAATTAGAGTTTGTGATTTGCAAAGAACTTCAACTTCTATTTAGCATTAAGTAATTGATTGCATAATTAATTAATTCAACTTTAAAATTTAATTTATGATAAATAAAAATATAAAACCAAACATTTAATTTTTTTTTAATTTTTTTTTATTAAATTTGTATTTTATTAATTTTTTTGATCTTTAGATTTAATTTTTTTCAATTATACATTTTTTTATTTTATATTTAATTCCTGCAATTTTATTAATAAATTTTTTAATTAAAATCTATTATTTAAATTTTAATAATTTTTTTAAATTTGATTTTACTTATTTAATATTCATGATTTTTTTATCTTTAACTAGAATTTGATTTTAATCTTATTTAATACTCATGAATTTTTATTTTTAACTAGGAATGACCATTGTTTAAACATTATTAGAATTAATAATATCAATTAATTGAGCCATAGAGATTCTATTACTTAAATTAAAATATCAATCAATTACAAAAAAATAAATAAAAAATATTTCTGCATATGCATAGTATATTAGAATGGAAACAATTCAAAAAAAATAACTATAAATAAGTTCTGAAACTGATTATAAATTTAGCATATTATGAGTTTTTCTGAGTTGCAAATTATTTTTACTAATCAAATCAAAACTAATTTCAGACCAGTTCTAAGTATTGGCTCAAAATCAGATTGTCTTCAAATTAAAGATAATAATATGCTGAATTTGTTTGATAACCAGTCTAAAAATTTTTAAATTGATCATCACATGATATATTATTAATATAAATTTAACTTAACACTCAAAGTTTAATTTATTTAAGAAGAGTTAAAGTAGAAATAAAGAGAAATTAAAATAAAACTAATATAACTATTTTCATCTCTAATAGTATATTTACTTTTTTATTGTTCTGCTACATGAATTTTAAAAATATTGCAAGTATCAACATTACATAATATATATATAATGAAGAGCATACCAATAGACTAGATTCTTTGTTATATATAATATAAGCATATAACCAATTCATCCTATAGAATTAATAATGTATACATTCTTGAAATAGTTTTTTGAGTTATATAATAATGTTAAATATAGTCATACTTTATAAGTTCAATTATATTTATTAGTAAATATTATCTGTATTTTTCTTTGAACCTTAGCTTAATTTTTATATAGGATTTACTAGTTGCTTTTTAATTGCTAAATTATTAATTATATTTTTCTATTTATAAAGTTTCAAAAAAAAATATCAAAATTAATTAGTTTTTTAGAAACTAATGATAAGATTACAGATAAAACATTTATATAAATACTGTACTATCAAAATTATAATAATTTACTATAATATACTATATCTCTAAAGTTATTGAAAATTGAAACAATATATTAAAAAGATAAATTGAAACATGTTATCTAGATACTATTTAATTAAAAT